CAGAAAGTTGACTGGTAAGAAGTAGAATAATTTTTGCTGAGAAGTAGAAGCAGCATGATTACAAAATGTAATATTAATTCACTCACTTATTCGAAATACCTTATACACTTGCCATCACTCACAATAATAATAATAATAATAATAACTTGTTAGTATTGCCAAGTGTATTTATTACTGTATAATGACTGACTGTATATTACCTGAATATACGTGATTCTGGCGTTTCATAATAAATGCTTTCTATTAATAAATGCACTTTCAAATTATATTCATGAGATATGTCTACGTCATAACCTCGTTGAGGGTTTATTTGCATATATTGTATATGCAGTGCGCATGCTCGAGCCTTTTTTTCCGTATTCCATAACCAATGCGTCATCGCAGTGAGATCAATTGCAATTTACGTTTTATGCAATGTAACGTTCCGCATCGTCAATGAGGTTTGTCAATCAAACCCCATTGATGGTGTTGAACGTTGTGTTCGTATTCGAAGCCCACACATAAGCAACGCTACCAGAAACGACACAAACTAACAAGCCACGCCAACCCAGCGACTGCTCAGATTGTGAAAGATTTATACCCCGATTTGTACACATCAACTCACTGATACCAACGCTAAATAGTATTTTCAAGTATATTAATTACTGTGTAATCATTGACAGTATTTATGTAGTAACATGTAACTGATGTAAGGTCAGATTAGCTTTTTTTACTGCAGCTGTCAGTCAGTAATGGTGCTTTTATACAAATTCACTTCTCCCCTCTATCAGTTCATCTGTGCTATACTACTCATAGTGGGTAATTTACAATCAACTTAATATTTTATAACAGTCTGTTTACTGTACCACTTAATATATACAGGAGTATTGATAACAATTAGTCTGTGTTTTATTCGTAAACATATCATTCTATATTAAAATATTATCAGTGTACCACTTTATGTACACGTTTTGATACTTTTTATTCAAATTCTATGGAAACCTCCACTCAGGTATTTATTATCTTTGAGAAGGAGACATTTATTGGTGGATTTATGTTATGGAATTCAGCTCTACTGATCAAGCAAGATTGTAAAGTGGGTGTCGCTCTGAACTTTGGAATAAGTAAATGGATAGCCTGGTCTGATTGTGCTTAAAGAAACTTACATGGTGTCCTTGAAACAGATTTGTGGAGTGCTGGTGACTGCATAAAATAGGTCACATTGTGACGTGCGAATTGGCAACAAAAACTTTGTTTGACACATTAGCCAATGTAATATAGTGATGTTTATGTATGTTTAGTATGAAAGTGACAGGGAATGGCCAACAATCATGGAAGAGGGTTTGAAAAAACTAATATCATAAAATGAAAAGATAATATCGATATACCTTGAGATATATCAGGAGACGGCAGTGATACCGGGCTCAATGCAATGCATTATGAATATTTAGTATGACAGTGACAGGGAATGGCCAACAATCATTTAAGAGGATCCGGAAAAAAACTTCTTGAAGTGAAACGTAATATCGATATACCTTGTGATATATCAGGATACGACAATGATGTTGGGCTCAATGCAGTGCATTATGGGTGATAAAGCTCATTAGCAATTACCTCATAACATCAGGCGACTGCAACGCAATGAGTTATGGGTAATGGAATTTCACATGATGTACCTCATGACATAGCTGAAACTATAGTGTAATTGGGTGCAATGCAATGCATTATGGGTATCTCTGATACTCACCAAGGTTTGACAATGATGGGTAACTGGAAAAACAAGGCCAGTGTATGGGCATTACCATGTCTTAGTCGGCCCTGATCTAAACATTTGAATCAAGCAATGTCAGTTATTAAAAAAGTGGTATGATCTTGCTTAGACCACATGGTAATATTGATTATAACATTATGGCATGTTTTATTTTTACACTTGTATTTGTATGACTCAATCTGGGAATATGAAAAAAAGCAGAATTGTCAAACTGGGAATTATACATAGAGGTCATAACGAGAAACCAGCAAGACTCTATATAGCCTGGTTAACTTTACAGTTTTTATGAGATTTTTGAAGGAGACATTTATTATTGATTTATGTGCAGGAAGTAATCACTTCAATGTGACTTATTTTGGTCTTATTTACAACCACATGGGAGAACTTTACACACATTAAGAAACACTGTTATTTTTTACTTTCGTGTGCGAAGCACACAATGGAAGTCTGTGTAGTTAGTGTGTCTGTATGTGTGTATGTGTCTGTCCATTTCATTGATATCTCAAGAACTATAGGTTGTTTTTTTATGAAACTTGATGCATAAATGCTCAAGGCTAATGCGCAAATTTGATTAGAATTTGGTTTGAATCTATGTATATTAATTATCTAATGTGCATGATAATTAGCCAATTTTTAGCCTTTCCATGACTGTTCCACTGATATCTAAAAAAACACTAATTGGATTTTATGAAACTTGGTGCATAGAAGCTCTACGACATGAACATACCTAATTAGTTTTTAGTAAAAATATGTGCGTATTAATTACCTAATTTTCCTAATTAGTAAATTTGTGTGGCTTTTCTGCTGATATTTCAAGTGCTACTTACTACATTTCAATAAAACTTAACTAAAATATGTGCATATTAATTACCTAATTTGCATAATAATTTATAATTTTTCAGTTTGTTCATGGATATCTCCATTTCAATGAAATCTGGTACATTGATGACCTGTGACATTATTTAAAAGACTAATTAATTTTTTTATAGGTCTCCAATGCTCTCAGCACACGGGAGTTTTTCTAAGCCTTTTTTGATTAGAAATTATAACAGTCTGCACTAAGACTCCTACTTTGGAGGTGTGTCTGTTACCTGTACGACTATTGGCTAATTTACTGATGATGTCATCACTTGGCACTTTCTACTAACAAAAAGGGGTGTTGAAATAATTAGTTTTATTAAACTGAATAATCCTATAAACGAGCGTAATAATTAACAGTGAAAAGGTAGTGGTTGACTAATTTCCAACATATGTTTGTAATTTAAGAAAGTTTATTTTTTTATTTCTCAGAGACGCCTGGACAGATTTTCCTCAAAGTCATAATATGGGCACATCGATTTATTTATTATTTGGTTGACCTTTTACCGATTGGTGGTCTTTTAGATCCCAAAAAACATCAAAAATCAACATTTGGACATGTCATCAACCGTTTCTCAGACATGCCTCAGGTTTAATTTTGTACAAAGGCAAAAGATAATGAGTTAAATGTTCTTTTCAGTTATTTTTCGTTTTTATCAAAATTTAGCCAAATGGTGGCAATTTTCGTCGAACGAATAAAATCACAAAATTCAAACATGTCATTTACCGTTTCTTGGACATGCCTTCACCGATTTCATTCAAACTTGGCATTGACACCAGTCATAGTGGGTTACTGATGCACTTTATTTTTTTTTTTGTGATTTAATTTAAAATGGCGGACTGGTGGCCATTTGGTTTTTACAAGTGTTATGCTCATTTTACAGAGATGATTGTACAGATTTGGGTTAAATTTGGTACAAAGGCAAGATATAATGGGATGAAATTTAGTGAAATGGTGGCCATTTTTATGAAAAACAATTAAATTTGAAAAATTTAAACATGTCATCAACTGTTTTTAGGCATGCCTGATGGCACCACAGTGTGCATGTTAATTATTGATCAAGCATCGTGTTATATGAATCCTAATTAACCAATCAGTAAAAGGAATGTAAACTTAATGGCACCACAGTGTGCATGTTAATTATTGATCAAGCATCATGTTCTATGAATCCTAATTAACCAATCAGTGAAAGTAATGTAAACTTGATGGCACCACAGTGTGCATGTTAATTATTGATCAAGCATCATGTTCTATGAATCCTAATTAACCAATCAGTAAAAGGAATGTAAACTTAATGGCACCACGGTGTGCATGTTAATTATTGATCAAGCATCATGTTCTATGAATCCTAATTAACCAATCAGTGAAAGGAATGTAAACTTAATGGCACCACGGTGTGCATGTTAATTATTGATCAAGCATCATGTTCTATGAATCCTAATTAACCAATCAGTAAAAGGAATGTAAACTTAATGGCACCACAGTGTGCATGTTAATTATTGATCAAGCATCATGTTCTATGAATCCTAATTAACCAATCAGTAAAAGGAATGTGAACTTAATGGCACCACAGTGTGCATGATAAGTGAAAATAATATGAACTTGATGGCACCACAGTGTGCATGTTAATTATTGATCAAGCATTGTGTTCTTTGAATCCTAATTAACAAATCAGTAAAAGTAATGTAAACTTATTGGCACAAGTGTGCATATTGATTATTGAGCAAGCATTGCTAAATACTATCCCAATATTTCAACATAATCTGACTATGCTTTTCATTGTTTGACAAAGTCACTAAAACATGACGGGGACTATGTCATTGTCAATGACTTGTTTCCTATATTTTACATTCAACTCATTAAAAATAACCTCCATAGAAAACATTTAAAAAGTCTTTTCAGCGAAAGTTAATTTCAAACTAAAATAAAGTATTTTACAGTACCACTCCTTTTATATACTTATATATATATATATATATTGTTGAATCCACATTTATTTTTACAATTGAATTCACCATTTCGTAGTCACGTGTCAATGTAAGACTAAAACTATAAAATATAATCAAAGTGAGTACAGAAACTAGTTTGTAATAATTATGGATGGGGTGATAATAGTTGTAAAGATATTTCAATTTTTCAATTGACTGATTGGGGGAAGGGCGAGCCTGGTCAAAGGTTCTTCATAAACAAAATACCTGGTACTCCAAACACTGGTCTAGTGAGCGAGTATTTTAAGTGGTTCCTTCTTAAAGTCTGAGTCATATATTATTACATTCATTCTGATATTTGCCATTGTGTGAGTCTCGTCGTATGATATTGGATATGTATTATACTTACTCTTAATAGTGACATTCAAAGTAATTCATTAGGAATTACTCGGCTAACACCGTCATGAGTTACGAGGTAAGTGTGAAATTATCTACCCATATGTTCATGTTAGTTCTAACATATCTTTCCACATTGCAAAGTAATTTGGGTCATCCAAACTGAAAAATGACTTTGGTAACTATTTGTAACTCTGTAACTGTGCATGAAATACTTGTATAGGTCACGGTATTTTCATTGTCTCCATGTTAGTTTTAAAATGACCGATCAAAGTGGAGATTTTAATTAAAGGATAAATATTATATAAGCAATATAAGCAGATTATTGTCGGTTTATAATACAAGGTTTTTAGGAAAGTGACATCTGAACTAAAGTCATCGAAAACATAATATATGCAGTACACAATCTATACCCAGCATTCCCTCTACATTTTACTACCATAATATACTTGTATTATGTTTAAATCCATTAATATCTGAATCTACGTTATTATCATTATAATTAGACGGTGTATCAATTAGCTGCTAAAAAGAATATTGGTGGTGTGAGACGTTTACTGGCAGCAGGACGACCAGTTGATGAACCAAATCCGGAATGGGTAAGTCACATTGCTGTTTTAATAATAATCTTAATTGCATAATCGTTATTTGGATATTGACTCAGAAAAAGAAAATTACATTAAAGATGAAAAACTGAGGAAGTAACAAAATGAAAGCGCTAAAATTGAAAAGAATAATAATATAAAAGAAATAGTTTATTTATTTAGAGGCAGCTGGTAGTTTTTGGAAATGATTTCCTCTGGCACTGAAACAAATATAGATGTAGCTTGCTAGTTTTGTTATTTTTTGGCTGTTATTGCTTGTTAGCATTGTAATCAATTTATTGGTATTTGTGTTGTTGCAATGTATTAAATTTATTTCCTTCAACATTTCAGTTCTCGCATTTTTATACAGCTTGCATTTAAGTAAGAAATTCGCTCATTTCAGGAGTCGTTCCTAAATCTTTTAAACTCACCATTGTCAAACCTCCTATTAAGAAGCGACTAATATCAAATTTGACCCCATATCTTGCTCATTATAAACCATTTGCAAAATGCCAGTCTGCCTATCGGTCAAATCACAGTACCGAAACTGCACTTTTACGTGTTCATAATGACATCATGCTGGCTTTAAACAATAACAAAGATGTAATTTTAATTATGCTGGATTTATCAGCCGCGTTTGACACACGAGATCACAGAAGTTTACTTAACAGTCTCAAGTCACGATTTGGGAACCGCGGTAATGTTTATAATTGGTTAAAATCGTTACTAGCGTGTAGAAATGGAATCCATAGTTTCTATATCAACTAGACTTAGCTTGGGGTTCCAACAGGGTTCAGTATTGGGACAATTCGTTTTCGTTTGTATACAGCGCCCCTTGAAGATATTATATAGGATAGGATAAAATATTTTATCTGGAACGTACACAAAAACCAATGCTTGAGTTAAGTCCAATATAAGAAACATAAACACAACTAATCTAAAATCATTTTAAAATCTGAAATATAAAATAAGCTAAAATCATACTGCAAACATATTTGTCTACACTTGAGAAAACATTGATAAACAATTCTTTATTTGGTAAGGTTTGATAATCAGATGAGTATACAAATAGTGCATAGAGGATTTCCTGAAAAACTGCTATGTTCACAATGAAAATTATAATGTTTTCATCGCCTAAATCATTAGAGTCACACTTGTTACTTACCCTGTCAATTTATTTGTTCCCCTGTGACCGCCTGTTTCAATTGGCAAGAAGTGGGCTGAAATACGGCATTTGGTTAATGCTATTCTGTGTTTTTTGTTTTTTATATCCTCCATGTATTTTTCAAATTTATAATTATTTTTGATTGTTTCATATGTACTTAGTTTATTATGACCAGTTTTGTTCAACTGACTTTCCACATTTGTAAATTTAGTTTAACCTTTCTTTAAACAGATTGCAAATAATTGCCTGATTAGTATCAGTGTTTGTCATATTTGTTTTGGACATATTTATACCAAGGATCGTATTTAATTAAACCCACTACTTTCTTTAAATGCAGCTTCGATAAGTATGTTGTATGTTTTCTTACATGACAACTTTTGATAAAATTTTATGACAGCAGTACAAACATCAATTACAAGTGGGAAACGACCTAGTTCACCTCTACAAGCAATATTCCTGTGTACTCCCAAAACTCTCTTACAAAACTTTATATGACCTTTTTCTGGTAACATTTTGTCAGAGAATAGCTTTGATACAAAAACAGTATTATCAATCTCTGATTTGCTATTGCCAGTTCCGCCAAATAAATTAGTCAGAAAACTACCCCAAACCTCTGGTTTAATTACAGAATCAAACAGTTTACAGGTTAAACTCACTGAATGGCATTCATTTGAATCCCAAGACATGTTATACATTTTAAATGATGCTTTATGAGCTTTTTCATACAACCTTGCCGTGGCTGCACTAAATTTCCCATTTGATTGAAAAGTGATGCCAAGGTAGTTATAATAATTCACACATTCGAGTTGTGTTCCATTAATGTAGAATTGAAATTTGACAAGGTTTTTACCAGTGCTGTTGAAAACTATAATTTTAGATTTGTTTATGTTAACCTTTAATTTCCATTTCTGGCAGTAATTTTGAATGGCATCAATGCCCTTCTGTAGATCATCATGACTAGTAGATATCAACAGAAGATCATCTGCATATAAAATACAATTTAATTTCACATCATTCAGGTCCACTGGGTCAACATTGTTAACAACATCACAAATACCATTGACATAAATATTAAACAACTTGGGATTTAAGTTGCAGCCTTGTTTTACACCTCTATTAGAATCAAAGTATGGTGTAATTCCGCTATTCATTTTTATGCTATAGTGTGTATTTTTATAGATTGGCTTAATCTAATTATAGAAGTTCCGCCCAATGCCTATATGCAGTAGCTTATATAGTACGCCCTCACGCTTTGGAGAAGTCAATAAAGCATGGAAATAAATAATTTTCTGTCTTTTTACGTTTGTTGTTTACATATTTTGTAATCAAGGATCTCAAAATATTAATGTTATCTGTTGTCCTATGATTTTTCCTAAAGCCAAACTGGTTATCCCTGTTTTGATTGTTTTTATGCAGATAGCTAGTTAACCTGCTGTTTAATATCATGGTATAAAGTTTCGATAAACAGCTGGAGATGGCAATGCCTCTATAATTATAGTTCCATAATGCAGGGAATTTGCCTGCCTTTAAAACTAAACAAAATAATTTGGCAATTGAATTAATGAAATATGGTGCATCATGTTTTAATACTTTATTTGAAATCATGTCATTACCTGAGGTTTTACCTAATTTAAGTAATTTAATTTGCTTTATTACTTCATCACTTGAAATTTCATAATCGAGATTAACTTTATTTACATTCTCCCTCTCCAGTGTACTAACACTATTCCTAACTGTATGGGTAAAACTACTCTCCTCAACATTAGATTCACTGTTTAGACTTTTAAAGTGATCTAACCAATCATTTACATTGATGTTGTCATTGTTACTATTTATTTCGTCAAAACAGTTTCCAGAATAATTTAGGATTTGTTTGTTTAAGTGCCATACTTTTGTCACTCAGCTTATCTTTATATTCTCTTTTTTTTAATTTTAATTATTTTTTTGTACTTTTTGTTGATGTTGTATCTTTCCTGTCTAATAACTTAAAGGTTATCTTTATATATAAACATAGTTGTGAGTATATGCTCTACGCTGATGACACCCAAATTTATGTAGTATGTGACACACATAGAAATAGGTTATATTCATTAGAATCTTGTGTAGATGATATTCGTAGATGGAGGATGTGCAATCAATTAATATTAAATGACAATAAAACAGAAGTTATCAAATTCACGTCCTGTTATAAGAAAGACGCTCATGAGCTAAGATTCTTAAGAGTTGGCACATATAACATTGCTCCAGTAGCTTCAGTAAAAAACTTAGGAGTTTTCTTTGACTGCTACGGGAAAATGACCATATGTATAGCTGCGTTTTTCGCACTGTACAGAATCGGAAAAATCCTGACTCTTATCTTGTGAACATACGGAAAAACTTGTACACGCATTTGTAAAATCTCGACTCGACTACTGAAACTCTCTCCTATATGGCATACCACAACATCAACTAGGCAGAATTTAATCGGTGCAGAATGTATCATCAATCGCTCTAGAACATCTGACCACATCACACGACTACTCAAAACTCTTCACTGGCCTCGTGTCGAGTTTCGTATTAAGTACATGTACAAACTATGTACCGTAATTTAGTGGTATTTTACGTGGTATTTTCATCCTACCAAATCAGGAAATGCGAATTCCAAATATGGGATGATTACGTACGTATCAGACAGTACGCCGTCACATCGACCTCTGCTGCGCATCGGTCTATACTTTCGCTGTTACTGTCTTCGTGCATACTTTGAGGTAACCTTAATAACCTCATATTATACCAACAAATCGTACATTACATTTCCACGAGAAACACACAGGTGCAGCCAATGAAGCTGTTCATCGGAAAAGCTGTTCCAAGGGATTTTTGTTGAGGGCAGTGGATTTTTTCTATTTTTTGTAGGGGGCGGGAAATATCAGTACCCCCAGTGGGTAGGGCAGTTTTCTAAAAAAAAACTTTTGTTTAGTGGGTAGGGTACTTACATAAACAAATATCGCAAGGTGGGCAAAACATCCTTTAGGGCAGGGTATATTAAAAAAACGCATTGGGGGAATTAACATCTGCTAAATGTGGGCTGCCGTGTATTATCAATAACTGAAAATGCGAGTCACCCACTGATCTGCTGAGTGGTTAATGTATTCAAAAAGCCAATAGAAGCCAATGACTCGATGAATTACTCCACCAATCGGTGATTTTTTAATGAGGGAAGGGGAAAGATGAATTTGGTCAGCAGGAGGGCAAGAAAGGCAAGTTGGCGGTAAGGGAGTAGGCAAAAAGTGTTTTTAATGAGGGCAGAGGAAAATGAATTTGGTCAGCAGGAGGAGAAGACAATTGTTTTTTCAGGTGGAGGGTAGCTTATGAACAGCTTTTAATTTGCCCTCTTTCCTTTATATTAATTAGCATACTTCAAAAGGCTTATAAAATTAATTTTGTCCCAGAGAATTGACTATTTCAATTTATTGCTCGTTATTGCTGAACACAGGATGATCTCCAGAAATTTAATTCCTTCATGACTACAAAAGATGATGTAGTAATAAAAAAGATTGGCAAGTATATTCATAAATCGCAAGTAACTTGGTCTGTGTAGTAGTGTCATAATAGCTGTTTCCTTTTGTTTAAACTGAATAACTAATATACAAAAGTAACAATGACAAAACAACATAAAAAAAACAATTACATCATAATATTCAATAAAAGACCCCCACTTCTTTTTCTTTTTTTTAATTTTTGTATGTGCAAATGGCAAGTGCTAGTAAGTGCTGACACATCGTGCATTTTGCCACAGAAGTCATCTTTATGTTTGGGACCACATGACAGGGCTGTGTGGCCATCTCTCTATCAATGGCAATTTTAACGC